AGATTTTTTGTTCTGATGATGCCTTACACCTGATCCCTTCAACACCTCGTGGAAGAAGCACACCAAAGGGTTTTCAATGACCACATTTTCATTAAAATTACATCACTGGGCCTGCCTTTGAGTCATCTGTAGATAGCTTAGAACCTCCAACTTTTTGGTTAACCATTTGTGTTAACCTTTTACGCCACCTAAGGACTCTTAAGGGAGTCCTGGTGGCTTAGTGGGCTATGTGTTAGGCAGCTAACCACAAGGTCAGCCTTTTAAAACCACCAATTACTCTGTGTGAGAAAGATGACAGTTTTTGGAAGCACTCCAAAGGATTCTCAACCCCAAATTAGTGATCTTTTCTGAATATGCAATCTCTGAATAATAACAGTAGCAATGATAGCAACGTATTGGTCAAGTATGTACATTGTTGTAAAGACCTGATCTTATTTTCTCCTCACAGTATCCCTGTGAGGAATTTGCTGTCATTCTTCTTGATCTACAGAGGAAATTGATACTTGGTGCTTACCCTGAATCTCATAAGAAAAAGAACAATCAAAAATTCAAGTACTCTGATTCCAAAACCTTAAGAGTTTTCAGACCTGGGTACTACTGGTCACTTCCTTTCCATAGGGTATACTAGAGATCAATTGCACATACTTTTAGATTCTGATTGGGAGGAAGGTTACAGATGTGGTCATGGCTTCATTTCTGCTAACTAGTCATTGCTTATGGCTTTTGTGTTTCACCCAAAGGAAAAAATACACACAGTATCATTGTTGGCTTAGTATTGTGTGCTCTCAAGTCAAGTATAAGTCACGGTGACCCCACGTGACGGAGTCGACCTACACTAAGGTTTCGCTGGCCTTCTCTCCTGACCACTCACCTTGGTTAGCAGCTGAGGATTAGCTGTTGTACTGCCAAGGATGTTCCTTCCAGTTTGCTAGGTGGGGAAGATAGACTTCCTAGAATAAGAAGAATAATAATGTATAAAGCTTGATGGAGAACACTGCAATTTCCTTGAAAAAATTTCCCTAATAATTTTTCATCGTTACAGAAGTTTTTGAAGAGTTAACGCACCAAGTGCAGGAGAAAGATTCTCTGGCCTCAGAGCTGCATGTCCGCCACATCGCCATTGAGCAGCTCCTCAAGAACTGCTCTAAGTTACCGTGCCTGCAAGTGGGGCGCGCGGGTGGGAAGCCACACATGCCCATAAGCAACTGAGTCCCACCGACGCTCCGTCTGCTGGGCATGTAAAGTTTGAAGAAAGTTACAGTTTATTCTTTTATAGTTGTTACTTTTGCAATGCTTAAGGTGGTATTTAACATCTTTATCAAATAAAGCAGATCACTGTACGCTAATCTTGGATTAATCATTTTGGGAATCGTTACTAAATAATTACTAAATGCCCACTCTCTTACTACATGTGACTACTTAAAGACACTGTTACAATGTGATTTTATTAAAGCATTTTTTAATTTAAATTAATCTGTTTGACCAATAGAAGACTAACTCCTTAGATTAAACTGAACTACTAGAGATAATTTTTAAGAGGATAATAGTATTCATAATATTCACCTCTTATTTATTATGGGCAATATTTTAATATGGGAATTTTATATATAAATGCTATTTTAGATACCTTTCCATTCTCTCTGTAAATGCGTGTTTGAATGGCTCTGTATGATGTTCACACATCCACGTGTGAATATACTCGCCCATATTTCAGATCAGCGCATTTTATGACCTCAAGACAGTGTTTTTACGACTATCTTGTTTAACAAAGAAAAAAATGTATTTTGGAATAGAAATCTATTTGACATGTTTTGCCTTCTAGTAACTCATGAAGGCAGAATTAATAATTTTTTAAAGCAAGTATCCAAGTAAATAAATACATTATTTTTTCTAACAAAAGCTATTCTAGGTTAGGTTAGGAAGAAAATGCTAATACAGTTTTTTTCTGTCAACTTCAGTAGGAGCCCTTGTGGTGTAGTGGCAGACACTTTGGACTGCTAACCACAAGGTCAGCAGTTCAAATTTAGCAGCCACTCCGCGAAGAAAGATGTCACTTTCTACTCATGTAGACCGTCTGGAAACTCACAGGGGCACTTCTTCCTTACCTGTATATTGGGTCACTGAAATCAACTTGATGGTAGTGAGTTTCTTTTTGGTTTATTTCCATAAAAAAAAAAAATCCTCTTCTACTTCATCCATTTACTTTTGATCTAATCCCTTTGATATGTTAGAATTTGAACAAAGTAAGTCAGCCAAAAGACTTAAGTCCAAGCCAACTGCAATATCCTCAAATTGAATGTGCTGTGAAGTTGCTGTCGCAATCTTTTAAAAATGTTAAAAATTATTCAGTGTGCCACTTTAAAGGTTCAAGAATTTACTAAGCTGCCCAAATTATTTATCAGTATCATTTAAATTCAACAGCAAAAAATCCATTGTGTTTTACTTTTCTAAAATTAGAAATTAAGAGGATTGCTTATCCACAAGAAATACAATTTCCAATTCAAAAATTGAGCTCATTTTAAAAACAATACTCTGTCAACTGGCTTATGATGTTTTCAAAGAGTTCTTAACTAATTTATTAGTTCAATCAACTAGATTAATTTTTTGCTAGTATATTAGAATAAAAGCCTACTACCAAGTCAGAGTTAAAGTGGCTCTAGATGCTGTTTATAACTTAAAGAATGTAAGAAGAACATCCTTTGCTTGAAAGGACCCATAGAAAAGCCCATGAATTTGACAGCTTCATACATAAATATGAGTGACTGCTGCCTTCTGTCTGGTCATCTACTTTGGCCTGGTTAGTCTTGAACACAGGATCTCATTAAACCGTTTTGATAGAAAACTGCTTGTTGTAATGCTGAACTGCGTTAGATTAGCTTGAGGGTATGCCGTTGATCTTATCTTTCTTTGTTGTATTTCTTCTGAAGGATGAAGTTTTTGGGTGGGAGTTTTCGAAAGAAGCTTTCAGTTTTTCTCAGTTATTTGGGTCATCCAAAGTAGATTTAAATTCCAGGGTTTGGGATGCAATGATCAATTTAATATGTGCAATACCAAGGTCTCTGTAAATTTACAAGTTGCATAAAGACATTATCTGTTTATGCCAATAATTATGTTAATGTTTACTTATTATGGTCATATTTTCAAATTTGACTTTACCCTTTTTTGGTAATCCTCTTTAGATTACTTAGGGTATAAGTCTCTTTAGATCATTTAGGGACCATCATCTAAAAAAGGATGTGTTAGCATTTGCTATGAGTAGTAGCATATTTCCAGAATATGAGCCGAACAGTGCAGCCCTGAGTGCAAGTGTTCTCCAAAGAAAGTGTTTGTCTCTTACAGAGTTTTTGGAAAATACGTAGCTTTACTAATGAGCTTGAAAACCTTGGATGGAATTATGCGTGTGTTAGGCCTTTATCATCAGGTCTGCTGGTTAGTTCCACTTATGTATTTTTACTTTCTCCAAAGGAAAGGTGCTGTTTAAAAATATCCATGGTGCTGGTATTCAGTACTTTATTTGGATGAAATTCTGTCTGAAGTGTTTTGCACAGCAGTTTACCGAGATTGGTAAACATTTACCATATTAGTTTTCTTGATTAAATATGCAATTGTTGTATATGCAATTTATAAGAGTAAGGGTCAAAATTAGGTTCTAACTTGAGAGGACATGTAATACCAGAAACATTGGTTTTAACTATTGTGTTATTGGGAAGTTTAGAAGAAAATCTCATAATCTATAGTATCAGTGTGAGAAATGTGAAAAGGCACGCTGCCAATCAGCCATCACTAACATTTTGAGGACTTACTGATTAAGAGCTGTGAAATATACTGGTGTGCTTGCTTCAGGTTAGATTTCACAGCTAGACAATTTGAATTGTTAAACAGAAGTCAAAAGTTATTTTGACTGCAAGATAAAAGATTAAAGTTTTAAAATCTCTTAAAAATTTAATTGAACTCAGAATCAAAATATTAAAAGATTATCATTTTATCCTTAAATTACAGTATTTAATACCTAAATTTAATCTGAAAAAAGTCATGTACCTTAAGACATTGTAGTACCAATAATAGATGATTCAGGTATCAGAATGCTATTTTTTGTTTGATCATGTCACTTCATATGTACAATGTTGGAGCAATGAAACGTTCTTACTTTTTAGAATGCTATGTTCATTTCACCACAAAGTGCCCATTTTTATATACATCTACGGATTATTTTTTAAATAAGTTCATGTTGGAAAATGATTCAGAAATATGGTCAGCGTATACTTTATTGTTAATCTCTTGACAGGTATACATTGTGGTTTCTTGACATTTCATTTGACTTGAACTGGTTTAAAAGGTTAACTTTTAAAAATTGTTTATCGATTCTGTATCTTGCTGTTGACGGTGTTGCATCTTGTCTGTCAGTTTTTTTCCATGTCTTTACATTTTTTGAATCTTTGTTTCTTAATATTTACCAGTTTGGGCAATTCTAGGGATGAAATTGCTTTTGTTAACATACGATGTAATACACAATGTATATGTGGTAAACTTAAGTAGAAAATTTTAAAGAATAAATTACGTGTGGCTTATTATTGGGAGGTTCGGTTTAATGACCGTAAAAAGTAGGTTCCATGTACATGAAAGCTTCTAAGTGTTATTAAGCAATGTTGTGTTATTTTTTTTTCAAGTAAATCTTTGCCAAGTAGTTATTGATGTTATTGTTTAGGGTAAAGTAAGATATTGCAACAGTACTTACTAAGTTTAGTACTCTAAAATTATTTAAATAACTTGTGCTTGGACGTGGCTATAAGCAAAGGTTTCATTTCAGTGTTTAATTGCATTTTAAACTGTATATTGGTGGGAACGTTTGAAGAAACTCATGGTGAACATCAGTAAAAGCTAAAACCCTCAACAGGTGATTTTTGCTAAGTTAAATTTTGTGGGAGTTGCCTGGGGCTGCAGGGAGCCTTATTAGAATACTAAATAGGTCTCTGGCACAGTCAGAAGTGGCCCCTTGTTGCAATAAAGCAAGGCTCTCTGTCTTACGTCCCAATATTTTCATTTCACTTCATCTTTCTTGCCCTTGTTACAATGCGCTCTCACCTATTAAGCAATTTTTATCTGTTTATGTGAATATGAACTACAGCTTAGTCTCTGGTGTTAAGGCTTTCTTTTAACATCTAGGTTTTTTGTTGGTTTTTTTTAATCATTTTATTGGGGGCTTGTACAATTCTTATCACAATCCATGCATACATCCATTGTGTCAAGCACGTATGTACATTTGTTGCCCTCGTCATTCTTAAAACATTTGTCTTCTACTTTAGCCCTTAATATCGGCTGCTCATTTTCCCCCTCCCTCCCTACTCCCCCCTCCCTCATGAAGCCTTCATAATTCATAAATTATTATTGTTTTGTCATAGTAACATCTAGTTTTTAAGATATTCCTTCCTTGTCTTTTGTGTCCAGGTTGATGCATTTTAGTAATAATGAATTATCCTGCAATTTTGTTTGCCAAAGTCAAGGATAAAAATATATGTTTATCCGAGAGATGGGTATTTTCCTCCCCCTCCCCCAAGTCCTCCCTGCAAAAAAATACAAAAGTTAAGCTTTCCCCTTAGAGCAAAGATAATTTTAGTGAATATGTATTCTTTCCTTCAGCTAGTCTAGACTGTGTATTTCTGTCCCATTACTTCTAAGAGGAGGTAAATTGCAAAGTGCCCATTAGTGACTTTTATTAAGTGTCATTCCTGCTTTTACTGATTTTATTTATCTCTATGTCAGCCTTGATTTAAAACAGTAGCATATACTAAAGTTATCGAACTAAATCTATCTGATGTTAAAGTTTTATTTTTCAGAATTACGCTAAGAATTTTAGGAAAAGAAAGTGGAACTACTGTGGTGAAAACCAAGTTGGTTTGAAAAAGCTAGACATTTCTTACTGTTAAACTTTTCTTTTTAAATGGCAATAATTTATACATTTGTATTGCTCTGCTTTGGAACTGTAACTTGCTTGTCTTTTTAATTTTACAATAAAATAAATATTTTGTTACCTGCTGTCTCTGAATGTTTTGAAAGTAGCTCTCCCCGTATGGTGCTAACAGCCATTCTGCAAGTTGGCCGTTTAAAGCCACGCAAGACATCTCCCAGAGGCCAGCCTGGTGGTCTGTCTCTGAAAAGTCACAGCCTTGAAACCCTTGGGAAGTGGTGGTTCTCTGCATGGTGAACCCCACAATAGAAAAAACGTGTCACGTGGTTGGCCTACCATATATACTTGTATAGAAGCCAGGTTCTTCAGCACATTTTTTAACACAGTTTTTGTGGTAAAATTAGGTGCCACGACTATAATACAAGTCTGCTTATACTCGAG